AATCAACTGTACGAACTCCCTATGCGTGGGGGAGGGGGGTTCTTCTGGTATCTAGTGTAAGAAATATTTTTTTTTTATGACAAAGTATTTTCCCCTGGTGAACGGATCAAGGGGATATTGCTGAAACAATTTGCTAGCAGATTTAAGTTCATTTCGAATTTCCCAGCATTCTCTATCAAACCATAATTTGGTTTCTCTTTTTTTCTTTTTTCTAATTTTGGGTGTTATTTTTTTGACAGTTTTGTCCGCGACTGATGACAACAAAGCACTAAATTCTGTAACAACATCATCACAATTGTTTGAATCAATTTTGTTTATAATGTCGCTAATTTCGTTTTCTTTAGCAATTTCAAGAAGTTGCCTATATTTTAGTTTTGCTTCACTGTCCCAGATGTATTTTGCTGGTAGTGGTTTCATGTTCATTTTGACTTCACGTTTTTTTATGTTAATATTGTTAATATCAATTTTAAAAGACAGAGACAGAGAAATAGACGAGGAAGGAAGGCTCCAGCGAGCTCATATTTATTTAAACTAGAAAAAGCAGACGAACAGAACGAAAAATAAAATCTATAAAAAATACCAAGTTGAAGAGTATTAGTTGCTCTTTCAAATTTCGCCAAAGCTTTACCTATATTTTACCTATATCTGCAGAATAAATCAAGAAAACTACACACACAAATTGACTCCATTTATGAAGAACTAACGGTGGGCCCGAACGCACGGCACAGTTGGAGACGAAGAACCAACCACAAGACTGGTTACGAACCAGTTGAGCAAGGCTAACCGAGTCGTAACCTCGATGTGGTTCGTAACCAGCCTTATGATTGGTTGTTGACAAATTCTGAACAGGCCACGCCCCAACTGTGCTACTGTGTTACTGCAATATTTATTTTGGAGGTGGTGCTGAGTTCGATAAAAAGATAAAATAAACAGTCAGAACAATAGTAAAGTATGAAAATGACAAGTGAGCTGCTGGCATAGCTGATTTTTACAGCGGGCACAAAAAAGTTGCATACATCCAACGCCGTGCCTGGTAGACAGCTACCAAGGGCTTTCCCCAACTTTGGACTATTCCATTGCCTTTGTAGGTACATAAACATTGTAGTTGGAAGAAACCTAGCATGAACATGAAACTGAGAACGAATAGGCAATAGTAGTTGTAAAATCCGTTGATTGGTAGATTGTTTTAGTTCTATGGGTGTACATGTATGCACAGTCCCTCTATAGAGGGACTGTGATGTATGTAAATATTTTGCGCCCGCTGTGAGAACATTGCTTCACACCTTCTTCCACTGACCGCGTCGTCCCACAGGGGGCCCAGGAACTATAATCAACGGTAGTACGCAGTCTCTATGAGC